GGCCCGGGGGTGCCCCTCCCAGCCGCACCACACGCCATTCCCAGCCCCGAGAGCCCCCCTGCTCCCTCCCCCATCCAGGTTCTCAGCCCCCCCGCTCCCTCCTCCTTCCCAGTTTATTTTATTATAAAAAAATACAAAGTTGTTTTGTTCAAATAAAAACAGATGTGTTTATTCAGAGTTCAGGGAAGGGAGGGGTTGTGATGGGAAAGGTATAGTGGAGAAAGGTACTCCCCCTAGTGGAGAGGCCCTGGGGACAGTTACTGGGGGCCTTGAGAGAAACTCTCGCTCAGGGCCTCCCGGATGCACACCCCCAACTGACAGGCCTGTGCATAGCTGTTCGAAGGCCCTCCGTTCGTGACTGGCCTCTGACCCCCACCCCAGTAGGAAGGTCTCCCCCTTCCTCTCCACGTTGTGGAGGACACAACACGCAGAGACCACCTCAGGGACATTGTGCTCCCCACATCGAGGTATGTCAGGAAGTATCTGAACCTCGCCTTGAGGTGCCCGAAGGCGCATTCCACTGCATGCGGGCCCGGCTCAGGTGGACACTGAATTGTCCCTGCTAGGGTCCAGGTGGAGACGTACAGCTTCATCAACCGCAGCATGAGGGGGGAGGCAGCGTCCCCCACAATGCACACTGGCATCTGTAATTCCCCAACCCCAAAGTCACACTGGGGGAAAATGTGCCAACCTCTAGCTTCTGGTAGAGGCTGGAGTTTCTAAATACGCGGGGCGTTGGTCATCCTGCCCCACCACCTGATGAAAATGTCTGTAAACTGTCCACGGTGGTCAACCAGGGCCTGCAGCACCATCGAGAAATAGCCCTTCCTGTTGATGTACTGGGCGCAGATTGAGATGTGGGTTCCATCAATGACTCCCACACAGCTGGAGAACCCCAGGGTGGCAAATCCTGCAGCAATCGGGTCCAAGTCTCCCAAGTGGATGACCCTGTGCAGCAGGATGGAGTTGATGGCCCTCAACCTGAAGAAGGAGCAAACACACAAAACAGAATGAGAGGGAGTGCCTGAGCCCTCAGGAAGTGCCCGCCCTCTCCCATCCCCTCCCAACATTCCAGGAGCTACCCTCTGAGGCTGCCCCTTGAACAACAGTGCTGTGTGAGGGTAGGCCAGAAGAACCCCCTCAGGACTTACCTCCCACCCACAGTCTACCCCCACACCCTCCCTTTCCAGGACTCCCTCTTACTGCAGGGACTGCAGCCCAAGAGCACCTTACCTCCATGAGGAGGGCCCCAACGGTGGACTTCCCCACGACGAACTGTTTGCCCACTGACGAGTAGCTGTATGGGGTGGCAAGCTTCCAGACGCTGATGGAGACCCGCTTCTCCAGGTGAGTGTCCCATCGTCGGAGGACAGGGGCAAGCCAGGCACACAGCTCGATAAAGGTGGCCTTCCACATGCGGAAGTTTTGGAGTCACTGCTGATTGCCCCACCCCTCCATGACCAGCCAGCTCCCACCTGTTGGAACTCGTGTCCAGCCTCAAAAAGCATCTCTCCACTGTGGGGTGCAGTTGCAAGGGCACACAGGGAGAAGGTCTCAGTGATTAGCTTGTTGTTGACCTTGTGCAGGGCCAGGAAGGCAGCCTGCACAAACTGCTGTAGAAACTGCAGCATGGCCATGTGGGGCCATCGCATACCCAGAGGCAGCTCCAGCTCCATGGCTAGGAGTATGCTGTGGTGTCCAAAAGCTGGGAAACCAGAGCACACACTGCTAACGCTTTGCTGTTCCTCAGAGGTAGGCAAGCATGCAGCAGAAGCAGAGAAACAGCTGTGCGGAGGTGGGAGGGAGGTCCCTTTAAGTGCATGTCTCACCTAGCCTTAGACAACAGCACTCAGAAGCAACTGCTGACTTAATGCCCTGCCTGAACTGGTTCTGGGTGGCCTTATATGTGAGATATAGCATCTAATCAATGTGGAGGCTCTTTCAAAAAAACAGATTGCTTTTCTGTTGTGCTTTTGCTGTGTAGACGCTCTCTTTCGAAAAAAGTTTTTCCAGACGATCTCTTGCGGAAAAGCTTCTTCCGAAAGAAGCTTGCAGTCTAGACAGAGTGGATGTGTCTGAGGAGGTGGAGTGAGCATGAGAAAGACAACTGTTTTCTAGGCTATGGTTCCACTGCAGAGTTAGCCTATATGATTGGCACAAACGTCTGAGAGCTCAGACCAGCCCAGCCAGGGGGCGAGCATCCCCACAACAAAACCATACCCATGTTATTATGGCATCACTGTTTCTGCCAGTGCCCAGATACATGCATGAGGAAGAATATCCCACCATTCTTTTTTTCTGACCCATTCCAGAATTCTTTTCCAATCATTTGTGACAAAATTTGTCTGTCCTTTGTAGAGACCTGAGGAAAGGGTATTTGAAGACAACAACACTTCACTGCTTTTTGCCTATGCCTTCTCTCCAAAGTGGGCTGTTTCGAGCCCAAATAGGATTTATCTATTACTGGATTCTGCTCTATCTCCCCTCTTCACCCTTCCAAAGCTGGAAATCTAGCCCAAATTTAAGGCACCTTTGAACTCCGGTCTAAGGGTTTTTTGTGCATACAATGGTGAGGATTAAGCCAAAATTCAGCTAAGTCGGAGTTAATTGCGAACACGGACTCACCCTTGTAAGTCATCGACAAATAAGCTTATCTATGCAGTCACCAGACATACTCACTTATCTGTGGAAGCAACAAACATAACTAAAGCAACTACTACAGCTAAAGTTGCATTATATAATCTAAACCATCATTTTCACAATTCTAATTTTTCCAAACAGTGATCTTTATAACAAAAGCTTTCCTACCTTAGCCTTGTGGCAAGACTATTTTTGCGTTAGAAATTAGGAAAGAAATATTTTAGCCATTTGGGAATACACAGAGTGAATTCTGAGTGCCGCACCCATCAGAAGTCTGCATATGGGATCCCAAAAATACATGGTACTTAAAAATATAGTACACAGAGACCACCAACTTCTGCTAATTTAATTGTTTCATCCCCCTGAACTGCACCTAAGGAAAGGTGTGCAGCTAATTGAGAATATGTAGAACATGCCCTCCAAGTCATTAAAATACATTGCTTAGGGGGAAAAAAAAAGAACTATCACAAAGTTCGTATTTTTAATCAATACTGTTTTGCCTGGGATTACAAAAACTAAGATCAGCAACAGGATTGTTTTGGAAAGGGGGAGGGAGGGAGAACAACTGCAAGTGAAAAGTCTAATTTTAAAAAGTTTAGAAACTTAAGATATTTAAACAGTAGTCCTGAATCCCATTCTTCATTGATTGACATATATGTAAATCCATACAAACTATCTGAAAAAATTGAATTGTTCCATTGTCTCTGAAAATAGATTTTGGCCTAAGTACAGAGGAAATACGGGAAAATGCAACCAACCACATTTGTCTCCAGGAAGTAAGGATTGTTCCATTGTGTAGGCAGATACAGTCCCCCAGGAGTGGAAAGAGGTAACTAGTGTGATCCCCCAAGGCTCTGTCCTAGGACCCATCCTATTCAACTTATTTATAAAAGTTCCCAAACTTTTTGACATGGGGACCAGTAAATCCATTCACAAACTTTTGGAAGACTGGTAATGTTCATTTGCATATTTGCATATTCATTAATCAAATGCTGAATATTCAAATAAGTTGTTTCTGGTCCTCCCAAAACCCCCAGTGCCAGCTTTAGCAAAGCTTTTGATATGGACACCCACAATATTCTTGCCAGCAAGTTAAGGAATATGGATTGGATAAGTGGACTGTAAGACAGACAGAAAGCTGGTTAGACCAGGGTTTCCCAAACATTTTACTTTAGTTGGAACCCTTTTTTTTTCCCGTACTGCTTTTTGCAGCCCAAAAATATAAACACATAAAAAACAAACTGAGAAAATACCAGACATATAACATGTCTGGTATTTTCTCATTAGGTAAGTTGTACTATTACTAGATGTATCAGTTTGTAGTTTCAAGCTGCCTGGCTGGCAAATGTGCTCAGGCTGCATGAGTGTGTCTACCAGCCAGACAGTTCGCAACTACTCGAGGGGGGGTGTGTGTGGAGAGGGGGGAGCAACAGAATCACAACTGAGAAAATACCAGACATATAACATGTCTGGTATTTTCTCATTAGGTAAGTTGTACTATTACTAGATGTATCAGTTTGTAGTTTCAAGCTGCCTGGCTGGCAAATGTGCTCAGGCTGCATGAGTGTGTCTACCAGCCAGACAGTTCGCAACTACTCGAGGGGGGGTGTGTGTGGAGAGGGGGGAGCAACAGAATCACCCGGGTCTGTCCCACTCCCCGCAGGCCGATTCATTCCTCTCCCCTGCTCCCCCCACTGCGCCTCTGGCCAGCCCCACTTCCCCCAGCCCCCTCCAGGGCAGCCAGTTCTCCCCCGCTTCTCCTCTCAATCTCCCTTGGCCAACCCCGCTGCCCGCATCCAGCCTTCCTTCCGGCGGCCGCTTCTCTCCCCCACCACCCCCCATCTTCCCTGACCAGCTTCCTGCCTCCAACCTCACACTCCCAACTATACATAAAATATGATGGGGACTAATTTAGCTACAACTACTTGACACACAGATATTTTGGAGTCATTGTGGATAGTTCTCTGAAAACATCCACTCAGTGTGCAGCAGCAGTCAAAAAAGCAAACAGAATGTTAAGAGTAATTAAAAAAGGGATACAGAATATGACTGGGAATATCTTACTGCCTCTACATAAAATCATGGTATGCCCACATCTTGAATACTGCATACAGATGTGGTTGCCTCATCTCGAAAAAAGATATATTGGCACTGGAAAAGGCTCAGAAATGAGCAACAAAAATGATTAGGGGTTTGGAACTGGTCTCATATGAAGAGAGATTAAAAAGACCTGGACTTTTCATCTTAGAAAAGAAGAGACTAATGGGGGATATGATAGAGATCTATAAAATCATGATTGGTGTGGAAAAAGAGAATAAGGAAAAGTTATGTACTTAATCCAACAATATAAGAACCAGTGGTCACCAAATGAAATAGGCAGCAGATTTAAAAACAAAGTTGTTCTTCACTCAGCACACAGTCAACCTCTGGAACTCCTTGCCAGAGGATGTGGTGAAGGTTAGGTCTTTAACAGGGTTCAAGAAAAGAGCTCAATAGCCATTGATGGACGTAACCTCCATGAATCTATTAGCCAAGACAGGTAGGAATGGTGTCTCTAACCTCTTTCTGTCTGGAAATGGGTGACAGAAAAGGGATCACATGAGGATTGCCTGTTGCGTTCCCTCCCTCTGGGGCATCTGGTATTGGCCACTGTCGGCAGACAGTATACTGGGCTAGATGGACCCTTCTTATGTATGTTAACTTTCTGCAGCAATAAACTCTAAACAACTGTTAAGAATCTAAAGTAACCCTTTTGTAAATTATCAAAACTATCAAGTTAAAAACATGATATAACAAATTAGCTTAAAAGATGAATGCAGAAGGTTGAACAAACATAGGGGTGCTTAGTGATAGAAATGTAGCCATGTAAGTCTGGTGTAGCTGTAACAAAATACAGGACTATTTAGCACTTTAAAGACTAACAAGATGGTTAAGGCAGTGGGCAAGCGACCAAGGAGCTTGCGAACAGGTGAGTGCTAACAGGGAGTTTTGAGAGGGAGTTCTCCAGGTGAAGGAGAAGCAGATACAGGACTCTTGAGGGAAGTGTGTTTTGTTATTGGGGCTCTCTTACTGTGTGCTGAGCTTGTGTTTGTTTGGTGTGTGGTGGTGGTGGTTTTTTTTTAACTATTTATTTATTTATTTTTCTTTCCCTGTTTGAGTGAGAGAGGGAGTTCTCCAGGTAGAGGAGAAGCAGATATAGGAGTCTTGAAGGAAGTGGGTGTTGTGTCTGGGGCTTTCTTGCTGTGTGCTGAGCTTGTGTTTGTGAGTGAGGGTTGGTGTGTGTTCTTCTTTGTTTTTTTGTTTATTTATTTACTCTTGTTTGAGAGTGAGGTTTCCCCCCCCC